CACTCATTGGTTTGTTCTGTGAGTCAAATATCAATCCCCTCTAATTTCCGATTACACCATCCCTCATGTTGCTCAGATGCCGTTGTACCTAACTTCACGGTACCCATTGTTTTGGCTATCACGGCAGAACAGAAAGCACATGTTGAGGATTCACAGGCGGTCGCTCTCACCTACGATGGAAAAATCTTGGCTGTGCTTCGATCACCCGAATTCTTTCCTCATCGCAAAGTGAGTACTTGGTGTATGTGGCCCCGTTCACGTGATCTCGGTCTCATGTAGAGCTGAAATCTTGTAATTACGCGACTCCTACTGAACGGTCCACTGGAACTGATGTTCTCTTCCTACTCATGTTTTGTTGCTGCTTCCTTTCTCAGTTTACCGATTGAATCCCTTGTTGATCACATCTACACATACAAACGTAAAGCGCTCATCAACGTGTATGCAGCCAGAGGACAATAATGGATTCAATTTCAAGTTCGAACAACTTTTTCTCTCACACGCTTCGTACACGTGTTTTCTCAGTCGGTGAATAATAGAGTGGATTGTTTTATTTTGATAAATCTAGTATAAACAACAAAAGTGGATCAACGATGTGTCTAGTTGTCATGACATGTTTTGCNTTAATGACCCTGGATTTCTCTCTCTTACCAAATCGGTCTCTGAGATTTTGTTGCATCATTGATCATAATAACAACTTGGGAATGTGTTCGGACATCCGTTGTGACAGGGGCCGATTCGTTCTGCCGTACGCCGATGCAATTTGTCTGGAAAACCGAAAACAGTGCCAGCCGTCCAGTTCTGCTTCACATGTTATCTATCAGTCCACATGCAGTTGCGGTGACACTGATATCGGTGGAACAAATCGGCCCCTGCCACAACAGATGTCCAAACAAGTTCCCTAGTGGTTATTACAGTCAGTGATACCACGAAATCTCAGAGGTCAATTTGGCAAGAAAAATCGACGGTCATCAGTCACAAAACATGTGACAACTGGACACATCGTTGACCCACTTTTATCATTCAAGCTGTTGTTACGTAACATAAATCTAAGGCGTTTAGTCTTCTTAGCCTTCATCAAGTTGCGTAGTCCAATTTCGTATGCGCAGAATCTTGTATGGTCGGCTCAGATAGTGAGGTAAGTTCACTTTTCTATTATATTTATAATGATTTACTGACCGGTCTGATTAAGCAACCGTTGCCCGTATACATTCTTCTTGTCGTTTTTCATGCAGTTTTTACCATCCAACTGTTTTGGGGAGGAGAGCAGCAGTGAAGGAGGCGGAGGGAATGAGAGATCGATCAAATTTCCCCAGAATTTTTGTGTTATGTTTCTATCAAAACATTTTCTATTTTTTTTGTTACTTTGTCAAACTGAACAGGAGGAACGGTGTTGTCGCACATTTGGCACATGTCATCCGGGACACCCGAGCATCAAAGCTATCTTGGACTCGGGTGATTGGCTTGTCGGTGGTGATTTAGAAGTTTTGGAGCGCATTCGTTGGAATGATGGCCTGGACAAATATCGATTAACGCCTTTGGAACTGCACAGAGCCCTTAAGGATATGAATGTGAGTTGTCTCTGTATCTCGCTTGCATAGACTGAAACGGAAAAGTACGACTCTGCCTAATCCTGAGGTCGCATAAGATGTCTCACGGCGAAACGAGTTTACCCTAGCTGCTTATATTTGCTGGATCGTAAGGAATCCAATACTCGCACATTGAGGATATTTCCTCTTCCGGAGCCGTCGATCCAGTAGTCTGACAATAACAATTTAGTTGTGCAGAGCGATAAAAATTGGATTGGACAATTCTTCTAGCCGTGCACAGATTCCGTCGGATTGGTTTCCACAGTGCTAAATTCCTCTTCTGTCCATGCAGCTGATAGCCGTTCCGGATTATCGAACCTAAGCAACATAAGCAATCGGGTAACTAATGTAATCTGTCGAAAAGTGTCCCAGATTTTCAAAGATGGAGTTATTTGTGTGGTCGGGGGTGGGTATCTAGGGTTATTGCTGGCCACTCTTTCCTTGCACATCGCGAAATACTCCCATACTACCAAGCGTCTCCAATAGCCTCTGCTGAGGAAGCCCTACTCGCTGCCTTCTCGTGGCGGAGGTCTTTTCCCACCAAAGTGAGAGGACGAAAAGCCGATATCCGGGTTGGTGGATCACTAGTAGTTCACCTAGGGGAGTTGGCCAAAACCCCTGATTCCAAACCAACCAGGCGTACGAACCACACACACAACTTTCTGGTTGTGGCAGTGGTCACCGGTTCGATTGGGCATCGAGGTATATTGGCATATGATCCGATAAACTGGACGCTGGCTCCCAATGGATTGCGGTTTTCACACACCACCCCGCTGCCTTATGGATCAGGCTTTGGCTAGCCGAACACTCAGGTTGTGGATTCCTCAGGAAAATTCACCTACCTTGGCCTGGGCAACCTGGCAGTACTCAGCTCACAAGCCAATCATGGAACGTTTTTCTTTTTTTGTAAAGATTATTGTACCCCTGATTTGTTTGGCACACAATCTGGCATCAGACAAGTGTCTAATTCAATATAATAATAATAATAATAATAATAATAATAATAATACTTGTGTAACAGTCCTACCCATGCCTCCCTTTGTTGAGTTGATACGTTCTCCGAGCTGAGAAAAATACCGGTTATTTTGTGGTTAATTTGGGTGGGGATGACGGGGGTGGGGGGTGGGGAGGGGAGGGTAGACAATTATCATACCGATGCACAAACATGGAGAAAACGAACGGAGCGATGTACAAATCACTGAATAATAAGGCAGATGTTTGACACGGTTGGATGTTTGCTGTTTTTAAGGTTGGTAAAGTTCAACGGACTGATCGTGCGCTATTTGTGCCATTGATTTCTATTCAGAGTTATATCTCTGTGTCCTTAACCAACGGCAGTCCTCCTTCCTCAACCAACAACTAGGTAACTATCGAACCAGATACCGAATCCAGCTTATTCATACCTCTGCTCCAAATCCCCAGTCTAATCGCGGTACCGCCTCTTTCAGTCTTTCCTAATACGATACATTTTCGACCCATTGGTGGTGATATACAGCGACTGCCAGCAATCAACATGCTAAGATGAACGCCGTCATTGCTCTCCCGATTTTTTCTATCGGAAACAAGCAATGCTTCAAAGATATCGGCGGTCAAATGCAAAAAATCTCGCACTGGCTTCACTTCCCATCATGCGTTCCTGTTTCTTTATGCTCGCTGCCGAACGAGATCTCTCGGTGTACGTTGAGAAGATGCTTTAACTCAGTGAAGATCCTGGATGTCCCGGGCCACAGTTCATTACGCCAACGGAATGGCTTTCTCTCTCTCGAAGTGTTCAGTTCTAACTTACGTCATCAGGTTTGGTTGGTTCTAGCGTTTCATTCATTTCCGAAGAGGGATATACAGGCTGGTAGGACAGTTCACTGCAGTCTAACCGCTCCCCGAAGCACACAGCTCAGTGCGGACTAAGTAGTGGTTGTAATCCTGGATAGTTCTCTTATTTGCTTTACTTGTCCGTTTGATGGTGCTTACGACACTTTTTATTCTACCCATTGATTTGCTGACAAAGCTTGATGAAGAAATAGAACCAGAAGGACAACACTTTTACAGTGAGGTATGTGAAAAGTCGGTGCTTTGAGATAGGTTTACGATATTTTTTAGACATGCAGTGCGCAAATACAGCCTGACAGAAATACGAGTGATTATAAGGCTGCTTGTACCAATTGGGCTGTATACGTCTAATTTACCAGGAAAACAAACGATTTTTGAGGAAAAAGTTCTTAAACTCAAATGCTGTGCGACGTACGTGTTCAATTATTGGATTCGTCTGAATCCAAACTGTGTCGAACAGATCATGGTACAGTATTTATGAAAAAGAAAAACGGTCCACGATTTGCATGTAGGCGGAATACTGCCAAGTTGCCCAGGCCAAGGCAGGGGAATTTTCTTGAAGAATCCACAACCGGAGCCTTTGGCTAGCCAAAGCCTGACTCGCAAGGCAGCGGGGTGGTGTGTGAAAACCGCAATCCATTGGGGGCCGGTATTCAGTTCATCGGATCATACACCCTTTGGATGAGGTCAAACGTCCAAGGTGCCCAATACACCNGAGCCGGTGACCCCTGCCACAAACAGGAAGTTGTGTGTGTGGGTGTGGTTCGTACGCCTCTTCATGGTTGGTTTTGAATCAGAGTTTTTGATCAACTCCCCTAGATGAACTACCACTGGCCCATCAACCCGGATATCGGACTCGTTGTCTGATGCTAATCAAAGCCCTTCTAATCGTCTCTTGTTTTAGCTTGTTTTTACTAACGTTCCACACGGTCGTTTACGACGCTCGCGATTACCCCATCCATTCCGTTGTCTGCATCGTGCCATTCTGTTTTCTAGGCCGACTGTGTTTTCGTGTTTCAATTGCGCAATCCCGTGCACAATGGGCACGCTTTGCTCATGACAGAGACACGTCGACAGCTATTGGAAGAGCACGGATTTTGTAATCCAGTCCTACTGTTGCATCCACTTGGCGGTTGGACCAAACCGGACGATGTACCACTGGACGTTCGAATGGCTCAGCATGCGGCCTGCCTTGAAGAGGGTGTTCTAGATCCGAAAACTACGCTGGTAGCCATATTCCCGTCGCCAATGCTCTACGCTGGACCGCGGGAAGTGCAGTGGCATGCACGTACACGGCTGATTGCGGGCGCACAATTCTACATCGTCGGTCGTGATCCGGCCGGTCTTCCACATCCGGATGGTTCAGGCGTTGATCTGTACGATCCGACACACGGAGCTCGAGTAAGATCCACTTTTCGCGAGTCCATACCTTATTTATTTCGTACCCTCAGGTCGGTTTACTTCTCCATCCATCTGGTTGCTAGCGTTACGACTACTTCCAGCCAGTGGATAAGATCACAAATTTGTGTTTACATGGGGTGGATGAGACATCACTTGCGATTATTGCTAAATAAATTTGATAAGGTCAGTGCATTTTCACGTTATCGAAAGCTTCGCAATGGCAAAACTGATTCTCTCCTTAACACAGACTACCTGCATGTGTGATACACTCGCGAGATGTGAAATGGGTAAAGCTTTGACGGGCTCTTGCAGCGTTCAATGTGGATACAGGATGGAATATGATCAATGAGGAATATCCGGGGTGGGCGAATGCTGCCTGGAGCGGTTATGGTCTTAGTCGTGGGATAATTTACTTCCACAGATCGTTAACTACCTATTTTACGTTATGGTTAACTCGACATTGTACCGGGTAACTCACCAACCCGTCCCACTTGCGACAATTCAATGCTAGTTTTCCACCACACTTTTATATAAGTTGTAATTTTTAAAACACAACGATATCATCACTTCCACCGCACTGTTGCCAAAGTGGCTGGGACAGCAACTTGNATTGGGGGGGGGGGGAGAGATACGCTAACCGATGCTTATCCGATTTTCGTTGTCTGACACTTTATCAAGCTGTACTGTGTGAATTGGTGTATACACATTAAACTGTATAATTGTGTGTGTGTGTGTTCACGAATCACAATGGTTCGCTCACTCTTGCCTTAGTTCAAAACAGATTTACTCCGTATCCGCTATACATATTCGTCTTTGTTTTGCACACATCAGACGCTTGGCAGCGACTAGCGATGTTCGCCTTCCTCTAATTCGCGGTCATATTGTGACAGTAATAATGACGAAATACAGGAAGCTAATAATAATAAACTTTATTTTCAGTCCGCAATATTTGGATAGGAACAGTCTCGATTGTGAACATAAACGAATTCGGATCTACAATTCGAAAGAGTTTGGCGCACTGCGCTCCCATGATCTTTGTGGTTTACATTAAACTGGGCGAGGTTCAGTTTCCGGGATGTTGTTTATGGTCCAGCGTTATAAAAAAAAACAACGATGCGGCACATTATTCCGAATATGACATCGTGATTTTTTTTAATTCTTTCATCACTCGACCTTGGGTTCAAAATGAAATCATTTGACGCCGAAAATAGAATCACGCATGCAAAGGCATGAAAAATACGTTAGCGACAGCCGATGGTTTGAAATTTTATTGCTCCCAAGCCGCTTTACCTATGTCCGGTTGCCTTGGCAACGTACTCACAAGGTGTTCACACACACATGGAAGCGAGCGTGGGATCTTCATACCCGCAATTTTCCATGTCGTTCTACCCACCACAGTTGTTGCCTTTTCACTCACGTTCATCTAATAATGACCAAAGAGATGCCGCACGCACGCACATTTGTCGTGTGTGCCTGTTGAAATACATCAGTGAAAATCGTGCATTTGGCCCAGCTCCAAGTTAGCGTTTGCTCCTCCGATAATTCGCTTCACTTCTCGTTAACTTTCGGACGCAATCGGTGTCCGAGGAACCGATAGAACCCGACTACCCAGCTGCGAATGTAACCCCGCGGTATTGTTGAAATGAAGTGATTTATGCATGAGCGCCATTGTGTGCAATGGTTGGCCATCATTTTGAGGACCCCTAATTAGCATGTGTGTGTTTGTTTCAACCCAATCGGCTATTGCATCTTGATCTCCATCTTTTGAAAGTGAAGAAGGTTGCGTACTTCGCTGGATCACACCCACACCCACCGATTCTTTAAGGATCCTAATTTGAGCTTTGTATTTAGCGTCACTCTATTTGAAGTGATGGGTGAATTCATTGCGGCGCAGTGGTTCACTCGCTGTCACAGGTATGCTTTGGACCTTGTGGTCCGAGGTTCGAGCCCCACCACCGCCACCCCACTTTGATGTTAGGGAGCTCTGCTGTCGTTCGGTTCAATTCCACGCCTAATCTATCGGGGCCTCATGTGGTTCGCCACTCGAAGTCCCGGGGCTTAGGTTCCCGGTTTCCATCACTGAACAGCAGGTCCTCGTGATTACGGGGTTCCACCCCGTCTGCTGTTCATCACACTTAGGTGTGTAATAAAAAATACAACCGAAACACAATTGTAGAAACTGTTTCAATCTGTCATTGCTCCGGGCTGTATAGTTTTTTTTTCGGGTTCGATTCTCGCGGTTGGGTCTCCGGCTTCTCCATACAACGAGACAAAGAAGACATTTGTGACGAACGAATGGCAGCTATCCGTTTGAGTGCACAGATAGCGCTTGTGTCTCTGTAGTAACAATGCACGCATTAGTGCCGCTCTTTGTTGAATAGATAACAGTATGATGGATCTTCATAATGAGGGCTCCAACCAATCACAGAGAGGCTAGGAAACACAAAATTGACGAAGGTAGATTGGAACCCAAGAACTTAGGGTCGATGTTACAATGGTCTAAATCAATTGATCTCACACTCCATTTCCACGTGTTGGTTTTCTAAGCTCTTGGGTGAATAGGAGTGGTGGCATAAACAGCTAATTGCTCTTAGATCGATTGAATTTTGTTTTACTAAACTAACCTTTTGAACTGCTCTTATCGATCTAGCAACTGTCATTTAATCTTCATGATCTACACCGGGTCTGGAAGCATCGCACCACATTAAGGCGCGACCTCGTGATCACCTTTCGTCGTGTGATGGATGCTTTTTCCTGTATACAAATAGCAAACGATAGGAGGATAAACGTTATGGTTACAAAACCATACATTCTGTAGTTTGACAGTGGCAGGATTCGAACCCCGCATTTTGGGCCCCGGTGCACTCCAATTACCGTGATTGAAATCACCGGGACAACAGTACTACTTTTTCTAGCATGACATTTCCTTCGACTAGGAACCATTGTCCTCATTGAGTTTCATAAAAACAAATTACTACCATATGTGTACACCATTTTAATATCCCGAAACACCAACAAACAAAGGAGTTCTTACAGTGATGAATTTCAGTTTCATGCACACACCATCCTGCCCCTGCCCGGGACTCGAATTCCAGCAAGCACAGAAAACCGACTACTGAAAAGGCCCTTCAAAAGAACGAAGCAGCAGTTCCGTACTGCTTGTTGGTCGTTGCATAAAACTAATTTCTATTGCACAGAGTTGTATTACATGTGCGTATAATTACTGTTTCCGGAGAATGAAACCCGGATCCAACAAGTGAAACATAATAAAATCAAAACAACCCCCAATATTAGAATCGATCCACTTAAACCTATAATTCTAATCCCGCATCGCTCCTGCTGTTGTGAGCTGGTTGGTCTAAAGTTTCGTTCTTGCTCGTTTTGGGGCGTTTCTCACCCAGGTGTGTTGAGATGATCAAGAAAACGCAACCATTCTCATCCGTCTGCTTCGTTTCGCTTACAGGTTCTGTGCATTGATGGTATTTCCCGTTAGCGGAAATCCTTACATGCGGAACAGTATTTGTCACACTGTCTCGCTTGTACGGGAAGTTCACATAAATCTATGAATGCCCAACAGAACCGTATCACATTAGTCGCCTTTCGTTTTGATTCACACCGTAAATCACACGGTACCGCAAGAATTTCTCACTGAGAGCTGTTCCAAAGAACTGGTTTTGATTTTCCACTGGGCCTCCCCTGATAAATTATTGAACGACGTTTTCTCTTTGGCATTTCACACCTGTCCCCCAGGTTCTTGCGATGGCTCCGGGGTTGCCTAATCTGCAAATTCTCCCATTCCGTGTGGCAGCTTACGACCAGAAAGCCGGGAAAATGGCATTCTTTGATCCGAAACGTGCGGCCGATTTTTTATTCATCTCCGGCACTAAAATGCGTGGCTTAGCACGCGCGGGCAACGAACCGCCAGACGGTTTCATGGCTCCCAAAGCTTGGCATATTCTGGCCGAATACTATCAACGGCTGGCGAAAGGAGACGCACAAACCAACGGGAAAAATTGATTTTCCATCATGTTGGATTAACCTTCGCATGCACGATGTGCTGTCAGTTCCCACTTACGATTATTTTCTGTTCTACCTGGCCTGCTTTAGTTGTGCCCGAACCCCAAAACGCACATAATGTCTCTCTCTCTTTCTTTTTGCTTGTGCCTTTTTTAATCTTTCACTCAAACTCCGATAAGCGATACGTGATTCACGCGATGAAAATTTTTGTAGTAAATTATGTTTCATTTTTAAAACTCGAATCTGCGACACCTCTCCCCCCGCCCTCGAACGATTGAAGTTTCACAAACGATCTGAACCTGTATTGGCTGTCCAATGCTTACCGTATACGACCGAATCAACTGATTTTCATAGACCTAACTAGTGACGACTGTATTTGAATGTTTTTCACGAGTTTTTCAATACTATCTTTTGATATATATATATATATACACACATTCCATTTTTCTGGTCTGTCTAATGTTACGTTCACTGTTTTGTGTGCCTGAACGAGTGCGATTGATTTCACCCGCATTTGTTCGGTTTGTGCCACATCACTCACTTGCGAACCGAGCGTTTTATGTTTTCTTACCGCTAGGTCGACCGTCTGGTAAAATGAAGGAAACAATACTAACTGACACTAAACCTGCAAAGCGTAGCTAAACTGACGACACATATTCTTGTTAAAGACACACTTCAACGTATCGATCCTGAATACCCTTATTTGTTTGACTAAACTGAGTTTGCCAGTTATGTGAACGAGCGAGTTACAGGTGTATTCGTTTGAGGGGTTCATCGTTTCATGTTCGATCGATGACACGGCGGTTCTGAGTAGACTATTCATTAATACCCACTATTGATCAACATGATTGGCTATCAAATGGTGCCAGGCTGTCCACATCAGAGCGTGTGTAAACAGACGAGTTTTGGTTGGTCTCACGTACCACAATGATGAAGAGATTCCTATCGCATGAGTGCTTGGCAACAGTCTTCCATGCTGATACCAAATTTGTGCCAAGTTAGATTGTACTGATACTCTCTTTGATTTCCCTCGTAACTGCCTTTGGGAATATCTGGTGGGTTACTGTTAGATGACTGTTGTCTTCGCATTTTTTCCCTGGTATGGTAGGAGCGTTGCTTGTGTCACGGTGATGTTGGACCACAGGTGTTTTCTTCACCTCGTCTGAGGTAGCTGGGACACATTCTACGCTTAGCTCGTCAATGCTTGTTCTACCGCGTTTTTTGTGTGCACAGATTGTCCCAGATTACGAGAGAAGCGTAAGATCAGCAAACCATGAGTTAGGGTAAAGGGTGAAGGGAACGTGTTTGGTTTTGGTTTCCGTTTATGCATCGCAGTCTCATGGACGGATCCAAAACGATTCTGGTCATCTTTGGTAAGAGACACTTCGGCATGGGATATTAAATCGTCATACCTTAGATGCCTTTACTGTGAAATTGGTTGAAGCCTGTTATGAAGAAATGGTTGTCGACCAAAATGCGCACAGTTGCACATGCAGAGTGAAGGTTTGATGTTCATGTATAACTTCGACTGGTGCTTCTTGCTTTGTTTGAGGAGGGGTTATTTTCCACCCGATTGAGGGCCTGAAAAGCCAACAACAGGGGGGCGATAACCGGGTTGGTGAACTGTCAGAATTTCACTTGATGACTGCCAGACGAAACAAAAAGAAGCGTAGGAACAACATTAGACTTCCTGGTTTTAGCATTGGTCCCCGGTTTATCATTGCTCGTTCCCTTAGCGATTTTCGTCGCATGTAGACTGGAAGACTGGTAAGTATTATACCCAATCGTGCACGGATCGTCTCTTCACTACACTTAAATAGTCGTTCTCTCTCTAAGATCTCGATGGGATAGCGATTCCAACGGTAATGAAATTGCAGCGAACTGAGAGCGTGTTTGAATTTATTTAATACTCAAGCAACATACTGTTCTATGAGAAAGACAGAGGTATGGAGATGCACATATGCAGCTATAGGTTGACTGCATCAGTGTTAGTTTTTTTAATTGCCTCTGGAATCTGGCCAATCACCTGTGTTTGGCTATCTTTGATCTTACTAGTAGTCCCGGAAAGACAAAACAGGTAGCAGGTTTACTCCCTGACACGTCCCCTTTTTATTCCGAGTCTTCTCAGTGTATGTTCCTCATGGTGGATTCGTTTGTAACCAACTGAAGTAAATACATCTTTATTGGGTTGTGTTCTAAGTACTGCTTTGGGAGGAATTGAAGTGCCACTGGTCTCGGGCACAAGGTTGCTGTAGACTGGAATACCGTCGATATCAATTGTGGAGTATTTCAGTGTCGAACGAGTACTAAGTCGGACTCATCGTATGGTCGTTGCAGCGGTGATTTACCGGTCGAGTTAAACTGAAGAGCAACGGGTGGTGAGATTCACCGTGAGTGCTTGTGGGCCTCTCGGGAACCAAGCGTCGTGGTTTGACATCCACACAAGTCAGTTTGTTGCTTCTCCAAGACAAGTAACGATGGTTTCTACCCCTATTTCCTTGCCAATTATGTTACAGGGGATTTGAAAACCTCAGATAAATGTTCATCATATATACGTTGATCATAAGACGTGGTGCATTAAATTTATCATTGGTAGTGCCATCTGCCAAGCACTGGTTTCTAAAGTTCTAATAAGGGATTGCACTGATGATAGTCTTGGGTACTTCAGAAATCATGAGGATCCATGTGAATGGGTGTCATAGACTATGGTTGAAGGTTAGACCGCGTTATCCGTGTATGTTACCTAAGTCGTTGTTCAGAGATGTGAGCAAAACAGTGTTGGTGATGCGTGATTCAGTGAATTCACACTAATTTCAGCACATGAGTTGATTACAAAATAGGCGATTCGGATGAAAGATTGCCAACTGCAGTGTGGTAATGCCGAGGGGTAGGACAAGGGGCTGTGCGTGATCCACTGAAGGTACCATTGCACATGTTTAAATCGAGCTTCCTGTTTTTTTTTCAGACGGTTTATGGATTAAAAGCAAAACGAGCTAAAACTTTAACAATCAACAGGGGAAGATTTATGCAATAAGTTCCCAATGCTTACAGGGGGACAGGGCTGCGTAAATGTCTACACGAAACGTCAAGGTCAAAGGCGACAGTCCCGTGTTAATGATCACACCTTATTACGCTGCTTTTGCATCCCTGGGGTTTTCTAGGATACCGATAACAGCTGTCTCATCGTGGTTACGCCTGCAGTTGAGTGGTATCACTATCGATCCCTGACTAAAGTGGTCTACTGCTCAATTGATGAATTCATTTGCACCATTACGAGTAAAACGGTTTCACTCGTCGCTGGACGCAACTCTGCGTTTGTCTGAACAGCTCTCATAGGTTATTGATATGGCATGAAAGCACAACTTCAAGCCGATAGCCTGATTTTGTTAGAGTACGCGATTTTTCATGGAATTCGTCATTTTACCAAAGAATTTGTCTGTGCTAGCTATCTTTTCTCCCCCAGGGAATGCATAGATTCGGTTCAATCTGTCAGCGGTGCAGACGTTTTCTGATAAATGGAATTTA